AGCACAGCCGGTGCCACACAGCATCGTCCTGTGAGGTCAGTCGAGTTTCAGACTTCCCACCTGAACTGATGAAACTCCAGTGATTTTCACCTGCTCTGATACAGCTCTGCGCCCATTTCCATTTGCAAATACCTAAGAGAACATCTCCTGGCTTCAAGTGCCACACAGGCTCCAAAGGCACCTCGCAGAACTTGCTGTACCACATTACCTTTGATTAGCATGGTACTTGTGGTTACTTCACTAACTGCAGTTAAGTGCAGAGGAAAGAGCCACCTGACAGAAAGCTGTTTTCTAAATAAATCCATGCAAGAAGGCAGCATCACCACTGGATCCCAGGCAGACAGAAGCTGGTATAAACCCATGGACCTCGGTGACATTATTCTGCTTTTATCTGACTTCAAAGTATCTCAACCTGTTTGCCACCCTCAGGTTTTGGCCACAGAAAAATGGAGCCATCAGGATGTTTGGCATTGCTAGAGAAGGGCAGGAGGGACAGCTAGCTGATTGAGCAAGGACAGTGGGATTCAGGACTCCACCAAACCAAAGCTTGGGAAAGAGCATTGCTTGCAACAGGAAAAGATTAAGGATTCTCCCTGCTTCTGTTTTAGCAGCAAATATTTTACTTTGCAAATGCAAACAGGTCTTCGTCATACAGTAACTCCCTGGATACTTCCCCAGGCACTGAAGGCTACAGGAATTCCCATGGACCCAACAGCACCACATTCACAATGCCGCAAGAAAGCGACTTCCCACAGAAGTTTCTCTGGCAGCTAATGCAGAGGGGCAGCCAAGCTAATGAATAATGCTGTCTGCTTGTACCTATCTTGGCTCTGATGCTTGCTGTCCCCTGGGCAGAAACTAAGAGGCACTGGTAGAGTTTTCCACCCCTTGGTTCACCCCAGACGTGCAAACTGACTGGAACAAAGTCATGTCTGGTATACACAGGATTTTTGATTCTTAAAGGAAGAGCTGCCCCAGCATCCCACATCCTATCTGTGCTAGTGACAGTGTGGATGAGCTGAGGTTTAGATAACACCTCTGCTAATTAGCCTCTCTGCTAACAATCATTACAGCTGATTCAACACAGTGCATAACCTCAGTTCAGAGCGCTGGTCTCTACTGCGATCTGCAGAGACGCTGCAGGAGTCTGCAATGTGAGGGCAGTCTGTGCCTTCAGCTAGGAAATCCCATCCTGGGCAGTTAAATCCCATGTAGAAGTATAACCAAGAGCACAATTTAACTTCCACCAAAGCCAAGACCTGTTTTGGCTTCACTATAACAGCAACTGGACAGGTTGCCTAACCTCCTCCCCTTTCAAAGGCAAGGTAAAAGCAGGTTAGTCCCACCCCAGGGCCTTGATTTAAGCAAAAGGAATGTGAAAGAGTTGCTAGTGGAGAAAAGATAAAAAGGCCCATAAGCTTCTGAAAACAAACCCCATGATCCCAACCCAGAGCAGAGGGAGGCTTCTTGCTTGACTGCCCAAAAAGAGAGCAGAAGCTTCCATCACCATTCACCATGTGACCACTGAGCTCTTCAGCTTATTGCTGCACATGGTGAACCCAGGTTCATGTTTGCTGCAGTTGAGATACTTAAACAAAAAAGCAGCCTCTGGCAGGCACGAGCCACCCCAGGGAGGGTGTCCAGCCATGAGGTGAAGAGACAAGGGACTCTGCAGATTGCTGCAGCACTGGGCAACAACCTGACACCCTTTGAGAGACAAGCAGGAATAACTACACTACATCACTGTCTCTCCATTGCCTAACCCAGAAGCTTTCATACCCGCTTAAAAGCTCCTACCAGAAACCATCAGCTTCTGGGAGACCTTTCTAACAAGCATCAGCAAGAGTAAAATCCTTTTAAGACAGTGCTTGATCAACTGATGGATGGGATTTCACGGCTGTCAGAGATAGCTGGGGACTGCACTGCATGATCCTGGAGGTCCCCTTCAGTCTGTCTATATTGGTATGTATGCATCTATCTACCTATCTATCTATACAAAAACATTAGCAAGCTACTTGGCCTGCACTCACACTTCTCAGCAAAAGCAAGAGGGGCTTGAATGCTCCAAGAATAAACGATTCAGCTCCATCTTGTGTTTCTGCTTTTGACATACTAAGCAGGACTCCAGCTTGTCAGGATAAAATCCAGACAGCTGCAATGTATGTACAAAATTGGGACAATTCAGATTAAAACCCCATTTTCCTCTGTGTTTCTCTGAATACTTCCCCCCTCCCAACAACTGTCCTGAAAGGAAGAGAGGAAGTGGGAGGATTTCCCACAATCTGGGTTCGGCTCAGAAACCCCAGCTCCCTGAATTATGCTTGATTGTGCCTTAGCACAGATTATTTCGAAATTATCATCTGCAAGAGCCACACAATCAGCACCCTGTCAAAAGAAAGCAAAAACTGGGACAGTTCCTGACGAGGTCTGTAAAAAGCCCTTTGGTCTCCTTTCCAAAGCAAAGCACGCTGCACTTAACAGCAATTGCCCAGGGCCCGGCAATCATGTACTGATGCATGAATGCTGCTCTCAAGAACAGCTCATCAAGGCACTCTGGGGTCATCACAGGCTGCAGTGACAATCACAGTCTCCCTGGGTCAGAAATTAAGGGCACAGACATATCCCAAAGAGTATTTTGCACTGAGAGGTGGTGTAATCGCAGAAGAGAATTCAAGACCTGATGACTCTGTCCTTTCATGTGAGCTGCACGTACTCACTACAACCACTCATCACAGCAAAAAGATCAGACAAAAAGGGACAGTCACCATTCCGGCACATTTGTCTTGCTGCTCAAGGCCTGGTCCCTCAAAAAATGACACCCAGCTACTTTTGCAAGAGGTTCACTGCTCAAATCCACAGGTGGTTTGGTTCCTAATGCCCGGCCCCAACCAGGACTGGCTTGAGATGTCAACAGCCTCTCTCCCCTTGGCTTTGTTATGCGGCATCTGAGGGAGCAATCTGAGCTCTGGCCATGAAATCACTCCTTCAACTATATCATATTGCCACATTTGACTCAACACTCTTTCTCCCTCCCCTAACAAGCAAACATCAGGCAGCAGCAGTAAACCCCTGCAGAAACACAGGCTCCCTCAAGGCAGGTGTGACTTCACTTTCTGATTTCCAAATATCTGTGACAAATTGCATGAATAGTGTCATTTCAAGCAACATTACAGTTCCATGTCTGATAGCTACATCAATGAAATACACGGCTAAAGCTCTTCCCCATGAAAAGGCGTTTTGGAAGCAAAGCTAAGCATTCAAGGAAGAATAAGCCTAATCAAGAACACAAGGACTGAACCTGACCTATCTGAGTACTTGCATATGAAGTTGTCCAGATGCTCATATGCCATACTGCACGTGAATCAAAGCAGGAAAGTGAAGCCAAAACCTTATGAAAAGGCCTGGTACCCTTAGATTTCCCTTGTTTTGGAGAACACCAATGGCTGGATGCAGCTCTACTCCTGCTCTGTGTCAACACAGACTGAACACATTCATTCTCCACCAAGAGCTGGGCCAGTAGCACCAGGCTCTGGAAAACAGGCTGCTCTCACACAGCAAGCCCTTACTGGGTTTCATAACAGGCAAGAGGAGCAAGATGCTCCCAGCATCTGACAGCTCATGCCATGCTAACATGCTGGTGGAGAGCCCCTGTGCTCCTGTGAGCAGGTCAGCAACTACCTGTGCTGCGGTGGACCCTGGCAGTCCAATACCTGCTGGGTGCTCCCACCAGGGGTCCTATCTGCTGCCAAATCTGGGAGCAGCGACTGTATCTCGTGTAAGGACAAGGGCATGGGGCACCAAAACTGCTCTGGTACATGGACTTCATCTTTGTAAGAGCACTGGAAAGCTGGGGAGGAGGCACTGAGGAGGGGGTCAGGACAAGCCCTTTTCAGCAGCAACAGGCACCACCATACTCTTTCCTCCCACTATGCCATGTAACATGGTTACCCTCTCCTCCCAGCCCTCTCAAGGAGCGTCATTACAAGTGATGGCCTGAGCCCGCATGTACCCAAAGACCCAACACAGAACACAGAGCTGCAGCCCAGCAATTTGGATGCTCCATGGAGCCACACAGACTGTGCACAGCACAACTGGAACAATCCTAGAAAGTGATCCAGTCAAGCCCCTTTTGACAGGGGTGTCATGCACCTCCCCATCTCCCCAACAACTTGTCACACATCCCTCCACCTGCTCTTGCCTGCACAGATTTGCTGGAGCAGAGGAGTTATTTCAATGCTCATCCAAGGGGTGATGCCTATCCCCTTGGGTCCTGTCTGTGTGCATTCCAGTCACTTCTGCCCCAGTTCCTTCGTTGAGGGGGTCACTGGCGCAAGGAGGAAGGGAGACAGTGGGGTGGAAGGACTCAAGCTGAAGCTAATGGTGCCTCAAGCGACAGGACCTTCTCTTCCAGTGAGGATGTGTGTGGGAGTGAGTATGCTCAAGAGGAGCTGATCAGTATTCAGTGAAAGGCTCTGCCACAGCACTGCCCGCTCGCATCCCTCCTCCTCCCAGTGACTTGGTGTGCGGGAGGAGGCAGCAGCCCTTCCTCAGCAGCACCCCATGGCGCCTCACTCCTACGTCCCTGTCCTCCCCTGTAGTGGATTTCATGCCTCCCCCCTCACACAAGCATCCCTCCATGTCATTTCTCCAGCTCTGCAGCACTGATGTCCCTGATATACCTCAGACCATCACACATTGGCCCTGCCAGTTCCTTTGGCAGAACCTTGGCTTGTGGGCACCCACCAGCAACGCATGATTTGGGGACCCACAGGAGCATCATCTGACAGCCTCCCTGTGCTGGGGAGCAACTTCCCTCTCAAGCAGGGATGCAAAACGCAGCCCTGGTGTGGGAGAGGATGGGTGGCAATGCTCCAACCCTGCCAGCATTGGGGAGGGTAGAACACGTGGGGCAAGATGTGCTGGACGAACAACCCTCCACAGCCATCTACCCACCGCGGGGCTCAGCCGGGGCTGCTGGTGCAAGCCACCACGGAGCTCACCTTGTGGAGCTTCCACATAGCGCCCAGGGCCTTGACTTCGTGGCTGGAATGCTTGCCCTCCTCCAGGCACTGGTAGCAGACGGGGCTCTTGCACTGCACGCAGTACATGCTGTGGTTCTCCAGCTCATGGTCGGTACAGGTGGAGATCTTGCGGGGGCTGAGGCGGCGGCTGACACGACCCTGTGCCGGGGGCACCAGGCGGTGCTTGGCCAGCGGGCCCCGCGGCGGGTGGCACCGGAGCCGGCAGGGATCGCAGTAGAAGACGTCGCACTGCTCGCACATGACGGCCGCCTCCTTGGGCGCTTTCTCGCAGAGCTGGCAGCGCAGAGCCGCCGCCCTGCCCTGCTGGTAGCGGTCGATGACGCCCTCCAGCAGCCGGTTGCGGGGGAAGCCCCGCAGCCCGCGCTCGTCCAGCACCAGGCTGCGGTGGCACTGCGGGCAGGTGAGGCAGGCGTTGCGCGGCGGCGGCGGCGGCGCCAGGGCGGCGGGGGGCGGCGGGGCGGTCGGCGGGAAGACGCGGACGCCGTTGGGGGACTTCTGGCAAGGGGTGGTGGGAGCACTGGCGAAGCCGCCGTAGGAGCCATAGCCGCTGTCCGCCTCGCTGTACAGGCTCATCTTATCCAGGTCCAGGTAGTCATAGTCGGAGACGGCCGAGCCCGAGGCGCGACGGCTCTGCGGAGACTCCGACTCCGGTGTCTGCACCAAGATGTTGCGGGCGCACGCCTGGCACAGGTTGTGCGAGCAGGGCAGGATGATGGGCTCCCGGTAAAAGGAGCCGCACACCGGGCATTTCAGCTCCTCTTCCATTTCTTCCATAGGGAAGGGAGAGCAGCGGCAGCGGCCGCAGCACAGCGACAAAACCCACCCGCACGGCTCCGCGCCTCAGCGCCGACTGCCCCGGCAGCGCCCCGCCCCGCGCCTCGCCATTGGCCCGAAGCCGCCGGGGAGGGCGGGACGCGCGGTCCGATTGGCTCCGCCCCCCTCCCGCCCCCCGCGGGCCGTGCTGCGGGGGTCTCGCCGCGGGGCTCCCGAGTAGAGCTGCAGGAGGGCGCTGGGGCGTGGGTTCTGTCCGAGGGTTACCCTTGCTCCCCCTCCGCGGCTCCCTCCCCGCGCCCACCGGGAGCATCCCCACGGGCACGGGCGCCTCGCTTTTCCCCTGTGGGGCCTGCAGCAGCTGGCCCGGGATGCCCCCAAGATGGCGGCATCTCTGAGGCTCCTACACTGCAGCGTCCCCAGGCCTACATCCTGGCCTGCGAAGGGGTGCGGGGGCCCCGCTGCCGGCAGCAGGGTCCAGCAGGATCCTGCCACCTGCTGCTGGTGTGTCAGGACTGTGTTGGGTCAGCGCCCGCAGGCTACTGTGGTGCTCCACATGGTCTGATCGCCACAGGATGCTTTGCAGCCTCTCTCCCGTTGTTTTTTACGGGACCCAGCGAGTGGGGCTCGGCTTTGGGGGGCCACAGAGGCTGAGCCATAGAGCCCTGGCTGCAAGAAGGAGCCCCCATCCAAGGGAGGGGGCATTTGGGTGGGGGTTTTGCAGAGGACAGGGGGTGTGTGCAGTACAGGGGGCCCTCCAGCATGTTCCCCTCTGACAGCACAAGGTGAGTTTTTGGAGCTGCGAGTGCTGGAGGTCTGCAACCTGCTGAGGGGCTGGGTCATGAGGCTGCAGTAATGGTGATTAGAAGAGCCACATGTATCTAAAAAATGCAACAGGCTCAGTAATGCTATAGCTTCCTATTAATCACCTCCGTAAGATGACTGTGTTGCTATGCAGGCTAGCATGCTGTGGTCCCTGAGCCTGGACACAGCCTGAGCATCCCATGGGATGCTGCTCTGGCTGCGGAGAGCAGAGAGGGGGCCTGGTGGGACTCCTGCAGCTGGCTTGAAAACCATGCGTGCTCTGAAGGTTGTCTAAGGTCTTTGAAAATACCCTGGCAACATGCAGTGCGGCATAGCAGTTCCTTCTCAGCCAATGGAAAAATAAGATTACTTGGAATGTCTGTGTTATCTCATTCTCTTCTCTCTCTTCACACAGTTGGGGCTGCCCCTTAGTGCAGTTGCTCTGTGCCTCCCTCGTTGTTATCCTTGGCTCTCTCTGGGGAGAGGGCTCATGATGTGAGATGCACAGTATGAGAGTACAGGGACAGACAGTCCAGCCTGTGGCTTCAAACAGAGCTCAGAGGAGCTGCAGATCCTCTGTGAAGCTGCTGTGGGAGCAGGAAGGGCCTGAGAAGTTTGGCTTCTGATCCTGTGAGTGGGGCACGGGACCCAGATGAAAGGATGAGCCCTTGCCACCATTCACAGGCAGTTACTGAGGGTGCAGGGAGACTGCCTTTGATGCTCCAACATCATGGTGTGACACAGGGAGGTTGGTGGCAAAGCTGGGGAGACTGAGGCAGGCTCACAGCAACTGCCCAGTAATTGGGAGAAGGGGAGGGCTGGATGCTGACAGGCCCCTGTCATTGAGGGTTTGACCAGTCTGGGACCAAGGGCCAAGACCTGAGCTCAGCTGGAGCCCTGGGACTCTGGGCAGAGGGATGGGAGAGCCCCTGGTGAGGCTTATAAGCCCTCACAGCCCTGACTGTGTGATGGTCCCCAGTGGTGGGGGTGGTCTCCAGGATCATCCAGGAGGTGAAGTGATTTGCTTGGGGCTGGAAATGTATGGAAAAAATGGGACAGTCACAGAATCGTAGAATGTGTTGGAAAGAACCTTCAAGCTCACCCAGTTCCACCCCCCTACCATGGGCAGGAACACCTTCCACGGGACCAGGTTGCTCCAAGCTCCGTCCAGCCTGGCCTTTAACACCGCCAGGGATGGGGCAGCCACAGCTTCTCTGGGCAACCTGTGCCAAGCAGTGCCTCAGCACCCTCACAGGGAAGAACTTCTTCCTAATATCTGATCTCAATCTCCCCTCTGTCAGTTTAAAGCCATTCCCCCTTGTTCTGTCCTTACAGGCCCTTGTCAAAAGCCCCTCTCCAGCTTTCTTATTGGCCCCTTTAGGCGCTGGAAGCTGCTCGAAGATCTAGTTGGAGCCTTCTTTTCTCCAGTGTCAACAAGCCCAGCTCTTACAGTCTGTATCCATAGCAGAGGTGCTCCAGCCCTTGCAGCATCTTCATGGCCTCCTGTGGACTTGCCTGAACAGGTCAACACCCCTCTTGTGTTGGGGACCCTGGCGGTGGATGCAGTGCTCCAGGTGGTGTCTCAGAAGAGTGGAGTAGAGGGGGGATTCACTGGTGCTCTCTCCTCTGGCTGCTTGTTACACACATCCAGAGTGCTGGGAACTGGTCCCTCTACTCCAGCAATTGAAGCTATTTTCTGAAATATCCAAACCTCATAATGCACTTGGCACCGCTCTTGGCCACATCTGTTTCCATGGTGGGGAGATGGCAGAAATACTGAAGGCACCCCAGGGTTGGCTGTCCCCCACTCGATGGTTGTATACCCAGACACAAGGCTGCCTTCCCCTTTGTGAGGAGCCTATTTTGCTGAGCCATGCTGTTAATCTGAGTCTTGTGCAGATTAAAGGGATATGGTGTGAGTGGTGATGGCAGCAGGGACCTATTGCTGCCATGCTTATTTTATCCCTCTGTGGGTACCACTGCTCCCTGCACGCCTGCCCATTAGCCAACAGCTAGGGTAGGTACAGAAGAGATTTGAGTGGGGTTTATCAGATCGAGCCTTGCAAAGCCCAATCCGTTGCAGGCCCAGCTCAGGGCAGGGACATGGAGGGGTTATTTCCATCCCCAGCAGGTTTGTGCAGTTCCTGGGATCCAGTGAGCAGGTAGAATTTCAAGCTCCTACATTGGTATTCAGAAGGAGGAGAAACCCAGGAGCTGAGATGCACAAGGAAGGTGCTGCCATTTCTCACACTGATAAAGAGGGGCAGGTGGAAAGGAGAAAAGGACTTTCCAAGTGTTTCTCACACAGCAGCTTTGTGCTTTCCTGTCTGCTTCTGCAAGCTGATGCTGGCTCCATATTGATCACTTGGACTGTGGCTTCCCATGGACTCTGCTGAGCATTCCTCATTTTCTTCCCTTTGATATCTGCTCAGAGTTGTTCATTTGTTTCCTGCTCTCATTCCTCTAGCTGCCTTGTTGCCAAACTGAAGCCATCATTCCTTGTTTGCTCTGCCTCTTGCTTCCTGTGGCCATTTTTCACTCTGACAGGTATGTTATGCCATTTCTGCTGTAGTGATATGCTGGTCATGTAAATAGGAAGAAAGAGGGAAAAGCCCTACAAAGAAGAATGCAGCCAGTGCATTTGGAAGCAACCCTTGGTCATAAGCATTCAGCTGTTTTCTTCTTGGCACAGCAGCTTATGTCTTCACTTTCATCTCAGCATGAGGCAAGAGTCCCCATGCTCTGGCTGTGTGTTATTTACAATGATCAGCCCTGTTACTGCCCTGAGAACTGTGCAGCATGCAGATATGAACCTGCAATAATTACTTGACCCAGCTTCCACATCCATTTATCTAATGTTGCTGAGCAGCGATTACAAATTTAAGGAGCAAGAAGTCATCTTGTTCTAAGCTGGCTCTTGCTTTTGTCATGTGTCTTTTGCCAGGAGCCTCAGCTTTGGAAATGGCCCCAGATCCCACCGGAATGGTGTACCTCTGTTTCTGCTGCATCTAGCCTCCGCTCTGGGGGTTGTGGAAGATGTCACTCGGCTGAGATAAATTACAGTCATTGGGACTCTATGTAAGTGCTGTTACATCCTTGTGGTGATTCATAATGACAAGAGGGACTGTTATCATCAACTGTTATCAACCGCCTGCTCCTGGCCATTCCCCTCCATGCCCCACCTGGTGTGTTTCTTTGTCTGCTGGAAATGCAGATTAGAAATCAGTATCAAGCTTAGAGATGTTGACAGGAGCGAGATGGGAGGGATGGTGGGAGATGCTGTTTGGATTGTCTATGGTAGATCACGACAAGATCGCAAGACCACTGTGGCTTTGTTCAGCCCATCAGAAAACCACAGTACCTGGGCTGTGACGCAAGGTCTGGAGGTGGCCTCTGGTGCTGGGACCTGCTCCCACATCTCTCTCCAACCTCTGTCCCAGCCACCTCCTTTGGCTCATGGTGTACAACTGCTGCATTGCGTCTCTGAGTTGTTCCTTGAGAAACTGAAAGAGAAGATGGGCAGATGCCATGAGGCCCCAAGGGACCACGAATAGGGAGGTGGAAAGGGATGGAGAGCATGAGAGCCCGTCGTGCCCCCCAGTTCCCTGACAGGATGGAGGTGAGGGTTGGGATAAGACCAGGACTTGCCCAGTGCTGGGAGCTGGGGGAAGAACTGAGTGCAATATTCTGGAGTTATTTTGGGGAACGGAAAATCTTCATTGCAAAGTGGCACGGAAGATCTGAACCTCGGTGTTTCTCCATGGAAATTCTGCAGTATTTAAGTCCATTAAATCCCCATGAGAGGGAGGTGGTGGTGACACGAAGGTGGAGGTGAGCAGCTGAGAGCAGGTCCCCAGCCCACTACAGCAAGACCTGCAGGGGATGCAGAGCTCCTGGGCAGGACACCACAGGCACAGAGGGCTGGGAACCCTGCCTACGAGGCAGGGGCTGTTCCCTCCATTGTATCAACTAAGTATGTTCTTATTGTTAGCATTACCTTCATGACAACTGAATTTCACTTGCTTTGGGCAACAGTGGTTTCTTAAACCTCCACTGTTTTACGTTTATGCCTGTGTATGTGCAAACACGTTTGCTACAAAATCATACCCTCAAATCCCCACCAGCAAAAGGATTACAGGACAGAAGGAAGGCAGGACTTGGGTAATCAATAGTATTCATGTCTTCAGAACAAGGAGCAGTGGAATACAAAGCTGAAGGCTGGCTGTCACTAATTAATCTGCCAGCATCATCCCTGCAATGATGATCCATCTCCATCCACAGGACAGAGCGGGAGC